GGGCTTGCTTCCCAGCTGAGAAATAGTATGTTGGGGGAATCCACTAATTTTATTTATTTTTTTAAAAAGGCCACGTGCCAAAGGAAAGTAAGAGAGAGAGGTCTCCTAACTACTTGTTCACCCCTCCCCCCCCCAAATACCTGCCACAGCCGAAGCTGGAATAGATGAAAGCCAAGAGCCAGGAATTCCATGTGTATCTACCATGTGTGTGGCAAGCAATCTAGTGCCTGAGCCTCCTGAGCTCATTAACAGGAGTAGATTAGGAGGCAGAGATGGCTCTCAATCCCAAAGTATACCCAATTCTCCACTGCTTTTATAGTAAGCAGTAAATAAGCCTGTTCTTGGTCCCAAGAGGAGATATTGTATCATTTATCAAAGTTGGTATGCTACTAATATAACCTGGAGAAGGGCCTTGCACTTTTGGCATGCCAACCTATCTAGGAGCAAGAGAGGTCCATGCAAGAATGTCTACCAACATACCCATATTCCCACATTCCATTTGTCACTGAGTTCTCTAATTCTTCCTCCCAGATTGTCATTCAGGTCCCCTTTCTCTTCCTCTACCTATGTTTTCCCAGTTCTGCATTCTCTAGCCACATCCTCATCACTTGGTGCCTAGCAATAACCCCTTAACTGGCTTCTTGACCTCTGTCCATACTCTCCGTTTTGGTATTAGAATGATCTTTCTAAAATACCAGTCCTGTTATGAGAAACTGATAATGAGGCCTACTCCAAGTGGTAGATTCCAGCCCTCCCACAAACAGCATCTGACATACACCAACCTCCTGCTCCCATGCATGCCACTGTCCCCTCCCACCTGATGCCTAGGGCATTTTGGGGTTCTTCCAGGAAACCTTACTCTGCCACAGCTCCATTCCTTCTATCAGAGTAATTCACTGGTCCTTTCCTCTGTGACACCTCTGCCCTGCTTTCTGCCTCCTTTTCTTTACTGCCATTCTGTTTAAGTACTCCTCCCCAGCACCCCAAATTATAATGCATTCCAAATCAAGATCCTCTGTTGTCAGTGTTTGATACGGTTCCCAAAGTCCAAGAAATGGAACCGGAGTTCATTCTGCTCCCCGGCACCTCTTCCATCGACTGTCATCTTCTTGTGACTTGTCTCCTTTCTTAGCCTGGATTCGACCTTTTGTCTCTCTGCAACTGAAAGATACATTCATCTCTTCTCTCTTGCCAAGCCTGATTGTCACACCTGAGCCCTCCTTATTTCTACTCCTCTGATGTGAGACATGAACAATCTCAGAGAGCAATAAAAGAGCCAGGGTAGGGTTTGGACTAGTGAGAAGTAAGATGAATTCTAAGAAAGAAAAAAATATAAAAGAATGAGGAAAAGGAAATAATAAATGGGGAAGAGGAGAAAGGAAGGATCAGAAAAAAATGAAAGATACACAATGAGCGCGAGAAATTGAGCACTCATCTAGCCATGAACACCAAACAAGTTTATTGAAATATTTTTCTTCATCTCAACGATTATTTATTGAATACCTACTTGTGATGCTCTTAGCTCTCCAACAGTTTATGTAACACTCTATCTGCTTTTCCCCAAAAACATGGAAGTGTTTGCTTTTGAAATCTGTTTTTCCATAAAATTGTAAAAGATCTTAAGCACAGTGAAAAAGTGATCTGAATTAAAATATACATATTTGTTAGATGACTTTATTTTTAGAAATTTTGTCAAAGAAATTAAGAGCCTTGAACAATAGCAGCTTTGGAGAGGAAAGGGTGTCTTAAAATGGCCTGTGCCTATCACAGGTTGGGTAACCAGAGCAATAGACATTGGCAATAGAGGACACCTTGGGACAGATGCTGTGATTCAAGTCCCAAAGTCACTTCTAATTCCAGCTCCCTGCTGTTGCATACCACTAAAGGAAGCAGATAGTGGCCCAAGTACTTGAGTTCTTGCCATACTGGTGGGAGACCTAGATTAAGTTCCAGGCTCCTTGTCTGGGTATGGATTATACTTGGTTGGGCTGTAACAACCAACAGAAAAAACTGGAATGGGTGAAGGCTAGTTAGGAAAAGCCACTGTTCCTGCTAGGACAGGAGGTGGACTGTCCTGCTAGGACAGTAGGGCTGGCCCATGGACCTACCAGTGTGCGTAAGATCTGGCATTGGGGGAGGTTCTGATAGAGAAGCTCAGCAATTCCTCTGTCGGGACACACTCCCTGCAAGTGAGTGCAAGAATCAAGACAGGGACCATGGACCATGGGTGTGAGATCTGGCATTGGGAGAGGTTCAGATGAAAGAGCTTGGCAAACTTCTCTGTTGGGACACAATCCCTGCAGGTGAGCGCAAGAACGACGATAGAGAGAAGCCCAGAGTAAGCCAGGTAATGGTACCCACCAACACACATTTGACTCAGGTGTGGATTGAGCCAAGCTGGGCCAGTTCATATCACCCACAGACAAATCTGAGCACTAGAATGGAGTGTGGGTTGGGTCGGGTTGTATCGCACATAAGCCTATTCACCTGAAGGCTGGGACTTGGACCTGTCAGGGCTGGGATAGGCTACCAGCATGAGCTAAAACTGAGGGTGGGCAGGGCCCAGCCAGGCTATAGCACCCAATGGCAAATGCTGAGATGAGACGGGCCATGCCAGACTGGGCCACAGCACCCAGCCTGCACATGTGAGACCTGGAGGAGAGGGGGCAAACCCGGTAGGGGGGGCTGCTTGGGGCTTCCCGTCTGGACCACCATTCCCACTGGTGAGCATGAGGGTTGAAATGGGGGGCAGACCAGGCTCGGTAGAGTATAACACCTGTTGGCCTCATGTGAGCTGGATCAGGGGAAAGCCAGGCTGGGTTGACTGTTCTTACTTGGTGCTTGCATAAGCCAGAGTGGGTGTGGTTTGGTAGGGTTTTGCCACAGTATCAGCTGGCAGATGCTGGCATGGGGATCAAATTCTGTAGAACTACCTGGAGAGTGCAAGATCTGGGAGTGGGAGTGAGACCAGTAGGGAAACAATGGGTACCTCCCTCTTGGATTGTCACTCCAACTGGTGAGCATGAGAACTAGGATGGACAGGCATGGCTAGACAGAGAGTAGCATCCGCTGGCACATGTGTGGGTTGGATAGTGGGGCTGGTTTGGTTGAACTAGATTTCAGTGCCCATTGACATGTATGAGAGCTGAATGGGATGTGGCACAGACTGGAGCAGTCAGCTATACATACTGGCAAGCACAGGAGCCAGGGCAGGAAGCAGACCTGATGAGGGTTACTGTGGGTCATTCTGGCTAGGCTTCAGCTCCTACTGGTGTCTGTGAGGATTGAGTGTGTGGAATGCAGGATTGGGTTGGGGTGTAACATCCATTGTCTGGTGTAAAAGTCAGGGCTGGAGAGACAGAATTGACCCAACAATTGCAACTACCAGCATGTGCATAAGCTGATTGGGGTGACAGATTGTGCTAAACTCTGTATTGGCAATCACATAGAAGAATCGGGGCTGGCATCACCTCAGATAAGTTTCTTTGGAGATCCCCCTAACTGAACTGCTGGACTCAGAACCCCAATCATGGGGTTTCATGGTGTGACCTTGGAGTGTATGTATCAGAGCTGGGCCTCCTCAATAGCCTAGACGAAGTGTGGACAGGATATCCAGGTGCACATGGAGGATATGGCAGTACATTGAAGTCTGCAGAGGATACCTGCTACCATGATAGAGGATGGAGGCCAAAGCAAACTGATGAACTTAACCAGTCAAGTGTTGGCAGTGTGAATATCTGGGCAAACAGAGACTCTAAAGTGGACTATATCAACCAGTGGATTCTGGAAAGATTTCATCGTTATTGGAGTGGTGAGATTGGCAGTAATTCAAAACTGTTGAACTGTAAAAGCCTATTGAACAGGAACCTCAGAGCATGCCCCACATCAGGGACCCCGGGTGGTATCGGGTGGCTGTCCTCCATCCCAGCATACAGAGGCATTTGGGAGGCTGGGTGTGGCTTCTTCCCTTATTTCTCCCATCCCCCAGACACAGGAAGGAAAAAAAAGAGAATGTGGAAATAATGATCTCATCCATTTTTCAGTAGCCCTTGACCCTTATCACCATAATTAGCTATGTAAAAATAATAAATAAATAAATAAATAAATCTTTAAAAAAAAGTTCCAGGCTCCTGACTTGGCCTGACATAGCCCTGACCAGGGAATTTAGAGAATAAGCCAGCAAGTGGGAAATCTATCTTTTTCTTTCCCTCTGCTTTTCAAATTAAAAGTAAAATCTAGTTTTAAAATGAGTGTGTGTGTATGTTGCATGTGACTATAGCATACTCTTACTACTCACTTCCTCACCCCCAAAATTAGATGGGCATTGGTAGCCAGAGGGAGATCTGTGATGAGAGCCATACTTTTTTTTACATTGTGCAATATAATAACATCTCACATTTAAGACATACTCAAAATAAGTAGAGCTAAAAACAAAGAATAATGTCTCTGGGAGCTGAAAACTTTGGTTCCAGGTCAGCTGTCCCAACAATCTCCTGCATAAGTTGAGTAAGTCACTTCCTTTCTCCGGGCTTTGTCCTCCTTTGTAAAATGAGTGCATTGGATCAAATGACCTGAGAGATCCCTTCCAAATATAACAATTTGGCTATAGAAAAGGGATTAAAAATAGATGTCCAAGGAAAGAGCTGACTGCGGGGAGTCCATACAATAACTTCAAGGGATTTTCATCCTTCTAAATCAGGGCCTTTGTCATCAAAGATAAGTACAATTTTAAGGTTATGGCTTTGTCCAGGGAATCACAAGTGGGGATGTATCTGACCCCACACAGTCATTCTGTGATGAGCCACTTCTTAGTCACCATGTCATCAAATGCATCCATTAAACTTGAACTTGACCCTGCATTGGGCTTCAATCACATACTTATTGTTCAGCCCATGTGAACCCTCACCACTATGCCCTGGGGCCTTTGAAAGTCACCCCACATACCTGTCTGGGGCCTAAACTGGGAGCAGAGCCAGGTCAGAGACATAAAGGGCCATTGGAAGAGGCTCCGAGCTCCCTGAGGGCAACCTGTACAAGTAGCAGGCTGCATGCACTATCAAGGAGGCTGCTGATTGCAGCCAGTTGCATGCTGAGTCCCTGTGAGGAAAAAAAGAGCCGCCTCAGCCCACTTGGCTGCAAGTGAATTCAAATTTATGTGCATTAAAAAACAGTACATCAGCATAGGCATATGTAACAAATCAAAAAATAATTCAGACATCGTAAATTTTGGGTGGAGTATATTTTACAATTGTGTATCTCTTTGCCATTGAATGTTTAGTTGAAAGTGATCCATGAGGCTGGCATCGTAGCATAGAGGGCTAGGCTGCGGCCTGGCTGGCATTCATATGGGCTCTGGTTTGAATCTTATCTGCTCCACTTGCAATCTAGTTTCCCGTTAATGACCTGGGAAAAATGTTGAAAATGGCCCAAGTGGTTGGGCACCTGGGAGACTCAGAAGAAATTCTGGCTTCTGATTTTGACCTGGCCCAGCTCTGGCCATGATAGTCATCTGGCAAGTGAACCAGGGGATAGAAGATCTCTCTGGGTAACTCTGGTTTTCAAATAAATAAACAAATTTAAAAAAAGAGAGAGAGAGAGAAAAGGATCTTTAGCACATCTTCCCCCACTGGCCAGCATATAAAAATCAATTATGGAAAATGAGAAATAATGATTATAATAATAATGTTTGACTTCAGCAATAATTTCTCTGTGTATGTATATATTAAAATATCATGTAATACACATTGAATATATAGAAATTTTTAAAAATATTTATTTTTTTATTTGAAAGACAGAATTGAAGAGAGAAGGAGAGACAGAAAGAGCTATTTCATTCACTGGTTCACTCTCCAAATGGCCACAGCAACTACAGCTGAGCCAGTCTGCAGCCACGAGCCAGGATCCTCCTCTGATTCTCCCATGTGTGTGCAGAGGCCCAAAGACTTGAGCCATCCTCTGCTGCTTTCCCAGGCCGTAAGCCGGGAACTAGATCAGAAGCAGAGCAGGTAGAGGATTAGCCAATTGAGCCAGTATATGCAATTTTAAAGGAAGTTGAAAAGGGAGGATGCTTGACCAAACAGTTAAGATGCTGCTTGGGATGCCTGTGTCCTGTTGTCAGGTTCAAGTCCCAGCCTCACTTCTGATTCCAGCTTTCTACTAATGCTTGCTCTGGGAGGCAGGAGGTGATAACTCAAGTACTTGGGTCCCTCTTATCCATGCAGGAGACCCATATCTGGCTCTTGGTTTCAGACTGACTCAGGCATTATGGAATAAGCCAATGGATAGGAGATTTCTCTTTCTCTCTGTTGTAAGAAAAACTATACAAATAAACAAATAATTTTAAATACATTGAAACACATTTCTTTTAGAGTAGATTTCACATATGTAGTATAATACAATTTAAAATGATATTCTAGGGCCAGTGTTGTGGCATAGCAGGTTATAAACCTCTGCTTGCAATATTGGCATTCCGTATTGGACTATATGTCCAAATTCTGGTCACTCCATTTCTGATCCAACTTCCTGCTGGATCCTCCACTCCCTGGAAAGGCAGTTGTAGATGACGCATGTGCTTGGGTCCTTGCCATCTAAATCAGAGACCCAGTTGGAGTTTTGGGCTCCTGGATTCAATTTGGTCTAGCCCCAGTCAATGTGGATGGAAGATCTTTTTCTCTCCCTTTTTGTTACTCTGTCTTTCAAATAAGCAAAAGTATATATTCTGAGACAAATCACTTAGTTGCCAACAATCAATCCTAATTTGGGAACCCTGAAATATCTTACTCCTACGCTGTAATGATGTCACATGGTAAACACACAACTGTAGTGTTAACAGACTAAAATAACAACCATGGGATTTTGACTTAACAGCAGGCTCTGAGTAAACTGTGATGTAAACAGACTGTGACATTCTGCAAGAAAAGAAGAGCCACTTTAATATTCCCAATTTGGATAGTTAACTTTGTCTTCTAGCTCTTGGAATTGAAGAAATTGATTATAAATCTTTGAAATGAAGATGTGTTCCAAACCAGGAGATATAAGACAATAGCTCTCTCTGAGGATTTGACAATGAAATTATTTGTCTCAAATTGTGTAGGGTAAGGTAAAATCCAGGGGTTTTCCTGGTGTTCCTGTAGTGTTTCTTATCAGCGCCTGCACTCCCATGTTTCTTCTTTGGGTTTAGGCCTATTCTGGTAAAGAGTTGGATTTGCTTGGACTCTTGCTTTTAGACTTTGTCTTAGTTATAGGCTGCATAACACTTCCCACTTCCTGTTCCATGTCTTTTCTGCTGTGTTCTTGCTGCCTGTTCCTTCCCTTCAAGCGGCTGGCCCTCTGTTTCCCATGAGCTGAACCATCATTGGACAACACAGCCTTTCAAAAGGCTCAGCTGTGGTTTCAGGTCCCAACATTTTTTTTTTCCTTTCTACTGTGGTCAAGGCATGGGCAGACAGCAGTTCATGGAAAACATGGGGCAAGAAGTCAGTACAGGGAAGACAAAATTTCCAGTGAGGAACTGAGTGCAGAGTTGAGCTGAACAGATTTTCAAACCAGTGATTTTTCTTTCAGATTTAATGATACAATTCCATTCGCTGCAGAATTTTCCTTACTCCTCCCCAAGTTCCCTACCCATCCTGATTTCCTCTATATTATGACAAAGATAATCCTTCATAAACAGTCATAAGTCCATCATTCTGCCATTTAAATGTATCCTGACATTGTGGGTATGAACAATGACATAGAGTCCAGCATCCTATTGTCAAGATATATTGAACAGTTTCATTGGGGGGGGGGGAATCCATCTTTGATTTGGAAGTAGAGATGCATGCTACATTGTATCTTCAAACCTGGGTATGATAGTCACTATTACATAGTTTATTATACATTCCTTTAAATGAAAAATCATTAAGACAAAATCAGCAACAGGAATAAAGCTAAAAAAATTTACAACACCATAGAGTTAAAGAACGTGCTACTGAATGACCAATGTGTCAATGAAGAAATGAAAAATAAAACAATTAAAAATCTGTAAGAGCAGTCAATATGACTCACTGGATTCAGGCGCCCATGTCTCATATGGTAGTACTTAGTTCAGATCCCTACTATTCTGCTTCTACTCATATTCCTGCTAACACACCTGTTAGGTAGAGAATAGTAGCTCATGTGTTTGGGCCCCTATCACCTATTCAGAAGATACAGATGAAATTCCTGGCTCCCAGCTCCTAATAGCTGAGGGTAGCAAACCACTGGATAAAAGATCCTCTCTGTTGCTGTCTCTGTGTGTCTCTCCCTACCTTTCAAATAAGTAAGTCTTTATAAAATATATATGTACATATATGTATATAAATGTAATTAACCTTTTTGGGGATCGGTTTGTCCTCATTAAGAGAATGAACAAAAAGACATTTTATTTTTGTTTTAGTTCTGAAATTCCATGACTTTCAAGGATTTTTTGCTGTGATTGTTCAATTAGCTGGTGTTTTCTCAGGGCCTACCTTGCAGCCTGTTCTCATTGGTTCTAAGGAAAATTGAGAAAGGAGTGCTTTCATCCACTTAGGAAGACAAAACTAACAGAAAGCAACAGAGAGAAAAACGAAGCTAAAACGTCCAAAAGCAGTACATGAGCTATGAGTGAAGGAGCAGTTGGGAGGAGACAAATCTGAAAAATGACAACCCTGGTGAGGAGGATTAGATCATAGCTGATTAAGGGAGAGGAAGGGCTTAGGAAATATTTGCATCTTGTGTGTTCTATAGGCTATCTTCTGTTTTCAGATGGAAATTCTGCATTACTTGAATGTTCTTATAGTCCAGGTGGCAGTTAATTTGAAAAGGGTAGAGGACAGTGAGGTTCTGTTATTTTTTCGCTAATGTGCAAAAAGTGTCTCCCTGTAAGACAAGATTCCCCAACCAAGAACAAAATTTGTATTTCACTGTCCTTCAGGCAGTTGTTGAAGCAATTACTTCAACTTCCATTTTGTAGCCACTTGGCAACTAGAGTTTGAGACTCTAAAAAGGGAAGGAAAGCATTATCGGGTGGAAGCATAAAAACAGCTCCTCATCCTCCTCCACAAAAAGGGAAGAAATAAACCTGCACCACCTCTCTTGCAATGCTTAAGCATATAGGCAGTGCCAAGAGGAACAGAAAAACATCTTTGATTTTTAAAGCCAACAAGAAGGTGTATGCATTGCAGCGAGAATATTTGTTTGTTACACTCTAGCCCTTCCTGTCTTCATAAGCATCCCCTTCTCCACTCTCTATACAAAGAAAACTACCTGGAAATTAATGGTATCAAAATCTGGACACTGTATTGCTCTACTAATGAGGATACACAATCTCCACAACCATAGCCTCTTGATTTAACAAGCATGAGTACACCATGAGCCATCCATGGAATCCCACACTGACGATATCAAGATGAACACAAATGATTTCTGGCCCAGATAGTATATAATCATAAACATTTCCAGAAAAACACTCAGTGGCAAGCCCAGAAGGACAGATACCTACTTTTGATCCTGCAAGTAAAGCGTGGAAGTACCTAGACACCACAGATATTAGTACACACTGAAGAATAGACAGAGCTGTTCAGTCGTACATTTTGTAAATTCTTACATAATTTATGTAAAGTCTTAGATAATTCAGAGAAGCAGTCTTTTCCTGTGTTTTTCTCTCCTTTCAGATTCTAAAATTGAGTTCTCCTAACAGTTGTGTTGTTTCCTTCTTTCATTTTTGCAAAATGTTTATTTGAAAATCAGAGAGGAATGAGAGAGACAGAGGAGAATATTTCATCCATTGGTTCATTCTCCAAATGTCCACAATAGCTCAATGGCTGGGATTAGGCTAGGCAAAGTCAAGGTGCTCAGAACTCACTCCTGATTTCCTTTATGGCAGGGACCCCAGTACTAGAGTTATCAAATTCTGCCTCCAAAGGGGCACATTAGCAGAGATCTGGATTCACAGTGGATCAGGGACTCAAGCCCAGGAACTGCAGTAAAGAATCCCAATAGCATCTTAACCACTGTGCTTAATACCCACCTCATCTTTCATGTTAGCCATCTTCTAAAGAACTGTTCTTTTTTTTTTTACATTAATTATTCCACATGGAAAGACTGAGAAATATAGAAGAGAAGTCATGGCAGAATGG